CAAATTTTTTCCTTAAATCAAGCAAATATCTCTCTCTCTCTCTATCTCATTCCTCTACATCTCTCTGTATCTTACGAAAATATTAGATAGTGTCTGATTCAAGCAAATACTACATCTCTCTGTAAATAGATAGTATATATCATAGAAAGAGATAATATATTATGAAAACATTCATTTGTATCTCTCTCTAAAAGAAAATTATGTAATAAATATTAGAGAATAATATATATCATGAAAATATTCCTTTGTATCTCTCTCTTTCATTCAAACAATACTACAAACACGAATTATACAAATTTAATAGTTAATTTTATTTTTTTCATAATCATTAAAAAAAAGCATAACTTGCAAAAAAATCTAATTTAACAAAGAAAATATGTTTAACATGTAAAATATACAAGTTAAAATTCAAGTTATTGGACAACTCAGATATCAAGAGATATATTAAATAAAATATATTAACATTTAAAATATACAAGATTAAATTCATATACAAAAACGAATCATATAAATTCAATATTTAGTGAATAACACAAAACAACAATATTTACTAAATAATCCAAATCTAAATACCTGAGGAAAATGATACAAAATTACAAGCAAGAAAAACGATACAAAATTATAAGCAATACTATAAATACGAATCATATAAATTCAATATTTTGTGAACAATACGAAACAACAATCTTTATTAAATAATCAAATACAAAATAATGTTTAGTTTAAGAAAATATACTAAGAATATAAATAACCGAAAAAAATGATATAAAATTAAAAGAATTACTATAAACTTGAATCATACAAATTCAATAGTCAATTTTATTTTTTCCATAATCAATAAAAAAAAGGCATAACTTGCAAAAAATCTAATTTAACAAAGAAAATATGCTTAACATGTAAAATATATAAGATTAAATTCAAGTTATTTGGCAACTCAGATATCAAGAGATATATTGAAGAAACTATATTGAACATTTAAAAGATACAAGATTAAATTCATATACAAACACGAATCATACAAATTCAATATTTAGTAAACAATACAAAGTAACAATATTTACAAAATAATCCAAATTTAAATATCCGAGAAAAATGATATAAAATTACAAACAAAATAAACGATATAAAATTATAAGAAATACTATGAACACGAATCATACAAATTCAATATTTAGTGAACGACACGAAACAACAATCTTTACTAAATAATCCAATAATAAATAACGTTTAGTTTAAGAAAATATACTAAGAGTATAAATAACCGAGAATAATGATATAAAATTAAAAGTACTATTATAAACTTGAATCATACAAATTCAATAGTTAAGTCGTATCTTTTGAAAGTCGGTTGCATTTCTGATAATTATATTTGGTCATTTAACAGCATCTGCAGACTTAGTTTATTTGTGGAAGTATTGTTTTAATTTTCATTATATTATTTATGAATTTTGTTATTATTTAGATAAAATTTATTATGAATTTTAAAATTGTGAATTTTAAATCAAAAATAGAACATTGAATATTGAATATTGTCAACTAACATATTTTTTCAGATGTTTGAATTGTTATGTTTAAATAGTTATAACATAATTTTGTTTCTTAACAATTAAATGTGAAAATATATACTATGTATGTAGGTTGATTTTATAAAAAATATTAGCAGACTTATTTTGTTCGTCGTTTACTATAATGTTGTATTTTACTTTACATTTATGTATTAATACATATTTGTAATTAATTTACGAATAACACCGTGCCTTCAGGCATAAACAATTGTTAGTAATTTAATAAATGATGACCCGATTACAACCACAATACAAGGTGACAATTACTTTAGAGAATGCTTCGACCCAGTTGGGTGAGCCCTAGGTTGTTGGAACATCACTCCCATTGGGGCTTGACTAAGATTTTATTATCTAATGGATGTTTTTATGATTTTTGTAGGTTATTTTATAATAAAAAAATTATTACTTTTGTAGGTGTTCTAATTACGGTTATGGATATTTTTATTATATTTATGAATATTTTTACCACTGTTGTGGTAACTATTTTTTTTATTTTTTTGGGGCTACAACAATTGTAAAAGTACCTACAAATGTGATAAAAATAACCACAAATATAATAAATGAATGTATAATATCAATAATAATAATAATTGGTACCCTATTCAACTCACTCCCAATGTATTGTTGGAAGTTGGAACATCCTTGTTTTTTTCAAAGGAGTAGTCTAAGGTACCCAAAAAAAACAAAAGTGCCGCACCATTATTTATAATATGTGTAAGTGTTTTTATAATTTTTATGAATATTTTTATTAATTTTGTAATAACTGTTTTTGCGATGGTATCTTATGGTAGATCTTAATATTGTAAAAACTAGCACAAAAGTTATACATTACACAAAAAATTACAATTTTTTTTACTGTAAAATGATCCATAAAAATTATAAAAACACCCACTAAAATAATAAAATTTAGAGGTACAGTACTATTTTTTTTTTAATACTATAGTCTTCTCTTTTCTTTTTAATAATGCTAGACCAACTATAAAAATAATAAGAAACAGAAAATAAATGATGACCCGATATTTTTTATTTATTTAATTCAAAACTTATATATCATACTAGGAGTTATTTGATAACACCATTTAATGCATAAAACTGAATACTTTAAAAGCTTAATGAATTAAACTCTTTTGATAACTTAAAATTATATCATTTAATGTTTTAGGCACTTCTTAAAAATAAGTTAAAATTTTAAGTAGCAAGTCACTTACTTATCATTTTAATGCTGAAAATGTTAGTAAAGATTTTGTAAATTTCTCATAATGGACAAATTTAACCTCAATATATGTTACACTCCTACTTTTCAATGCCCACTATCCATCACAACCATCATTGTGTTGTCACTACCATTGTGTCGTCACTACCATTGTGTCATGGCCATCACCATCATTATGTCACTATTATCACTACCACCATCACTGTCATTATTGTGTTGTCGTCGCCGCCACCACAATGTGTCATTGTCAGTGCCACCACAACCACCATTGTGATGGTCATAGTAGGAATAAGTTAGTTGCTATGAAATAGTTAAAAAAAATGACAAAAACTTTGATGGAATTTGATAAATTTTTTGTAACAATTCTAACGATTATTTGGGTAAATTTTTGGAATTGACATTGAGTTCTTAGGTTATTATTTCAACAAATTCTTTGTGATTAAGTTGATGAAATTTGATTTTGAAAATGGATTTGGTTATTTTAAGGGATTCTTTTACTTTGGCAATTTCGTTGTGTTATATAATTCTTTCAAACACAAATAATAACTAATATATATTGTTGATAAGTAATGGGCTTTGGAATTTTAGTCGGTCATGGTGGAGGTAATAAATCCTTCCAAAACTAGACTTAATGTAATTTCAATCTCTAAGATTTTTTGTTACACTAATACTATTGAAACATAATTTAGGGATATAATATATTGTGACTATTAAATTGATAATAGAGCGCATTTAATATTTAGACCCATTGATAATCTAATAACCAAATTTATTATGTCCGATAATGATGAGATCTTAGATATGGATTACCCTTGTCAAGAGCCCAAAAGGTTAAAAAGCCTTCGCTGGCAGAATGGCCCAAACAGCTCAATTATAGCATATACATTCCGGGATCAAAATGGGTTGCGCTCAAAGGATGAAGCCCAATAGTGCCTAAAGACTTAAAGCCCAACCCAACTTCGATCTAACTCGGTTGGAGGTCAACTTGGGATCAAGGAGCTCAGCCTCCATGTCGATCTTAAATCACTCCCGCCGGGTCAGGTGTCCAAAAGATAGGAGGACCACTTCTGACACTCATAATGAACATGCACTCACTATCACAGAGAATATTGGTGAACGTAACTGCTCAATGTTCGTGGATGCGGTAGCGCCATATGACAGAGGTTACTATCGGACAAAATTAGAAGGACCCACAGAATCAACAAAAAAGATGAAGAAGTCGCAAGAAACCCTAGAAGGATTATCTGTATCAATAGGACACTATTACCCTACAAAACACACACGATCATCATCTTCCTCATGCCTACACAGTTAATCTCACAGATAAACTTGTACTCTCTAAGGATTTTCTTGTAAAGGCTCTAAGCCAAATAAACTGTTGTAACCATCACTATAATAAAAGTCATTTTTTGCGACGATTTTTTTTCGTCGTGTGTTTATCGCAATAATCTCGTCACATAAAGTATTTTGCGACAAATAAAAAATGTCGCCAAAACTTCAGAAAACATTACTAAAATTAATTCCACAAACTTAAAAAAAATAATTTAATTAATTTTTCGCGACGAAAAAAATCGTCGCAAATATATTTTTCATAAATAAAAATTTTTTTAAAAAATAATTTAATTAATTTTTCGCGATGTAAAAAAATCGTCGCAAATATATTTTTCATAAATAAAAAATGTAAATAATAATTAATTAATTTTTAACGACATAAAAAAAACCTCGCAAATAATTTTTTACATAAATAAAAAATATAAATAATAATTTAATAAATACATTTGTGGCGTATAAAAAATTATCGCAAAAAAGTTGTTCCTACAATTTTTTTGCGACGATTTTAATTCCGTCGCAAAAAAAATCTTTTTTAAAAAAAAATTAATTCATAAAAAATAATATTCCAATAAAATTTTTCACCTATACACACCAATAATACCTGTGTTGAATAAAAACTAACACAATTAATATATTTCACATCTTTTCCATTCAACATACATTTCATATCTTTTTTAAAAAAACAAAATTTTAATTCCAAAAAGAATGAGTTATAAGAATCAAAGAACAAGAAGTTCTAAAAATAGAAAAAAATATCTTTAATCCTTCAAGAGGATTTAAACCATCTCTAATTACATTTAATGTCTCAGCACCCAAGCCTCCAGAAGCGGTATTCTGCCATTTGGACAAACTGATAGCACAAGTACAATGTTTGTATATAAACCTCATGGCTACTGGAGCATGTCTAAGAAAGATAGGTATATTACCAAGTTCAACAGCCAGACAACTTCATCAAGCATAGAGACAACAATTCCCGCCGAACCAGCATCAATCAGTTCTGACCTCGGGGAAGACAGTTTTGATGACACGTCTAAACCAGCATACTTTACATCATGCACTCTAACTGGTTTGCTTGGAGGCTTCGGCCTTGATTCTTTCCATACTTGATCCACGAGATTAAAATCCGTTAAGTATACCAACTCATGATTCCTTTTAGATATAGCCTCCTTTAATTCTTCTGCAGCATCAGAAGAAAAAAGAAACTGCTCCCTTCACAGAAACAAAGAGAAAGTGGCATCAGACAAGCAAGTATGAAGAATGGAGTTCTACATCAGTATATTGAGACACAAATATCCTAAAACATTAAATACAAAGGAGAGGGGAAGGGAAAGATAAAATCACACAGTAAGAAAACCAATATTTATGTGCTAAAAAATGGCATTGCAATTGACAAAAATGTAGGGATGAGCAATTGAGAACCCATCTATGAATTTAGGCAGCAAGAGAAATCCTTCAGTGTGCACACACATCAAACACAGACTCTCCCAAATCCTCTGATAGGGAACAAAAAATCCCCTCAAACACTAGCTTATTCTTTAATCATAATCAACGTTCCCATTTTCCATTCTCATATTATTTCCCTTGGTCTCCAATTCCGAAGAACTTCCTAAAACTCATATCTTTTGCATAAGGAGTCACTGCACCAGGATATAAAAACTTGGATCTTCACTTCCTAAGTCTCGAACTTAATCCCTTTGTTCTACCAAATCAAGTGCAACAAGTTTTCTATGTGAATTATACCAAGTATGGACCACACTGGCAAGTCGTACAACGGGTCCAACATCGAGGCATATGGGATATACCAGAGCGACATGCAGTAGATGTCAGTGATGATGAACATTCTATTCCAAATGATGCATTCCAACAAGAAGAACCCACTGAGGATGTCCCTATTATTGTTGAAAATCATGATACGCACCCATTCGGTAGGACCAAACTTGATCCCGTGCTTCTCCCGAGCAGACGGGTAATGTTGTCTGAAAACATACAAGACAAAGATGTCGATAATGATTTCATCTGTGATGATGATGATAATGATGAAGAGACACTACTAGAGTATAGTGATTTTGAATGAGATATGGAAAGTCATTCTGAGTCAGATGTTGATCCCGAAATATAAATATAGTTTAACCAAATTTTCTTCATAATGGTATGCTATTTTGTTTTGTTATAGCTGTTGTATTTCTAATTGATTATTTGCATAATGACTCATGTAACATAATTTTTTAGGAAACATAAATAGCTCCAGGTCGTCGACCTAAAGTCTTATCTATACCTGCAACTGCACATGAGGAGGTGCAATCCCCATCACCGACATCGACCATCTGTAGTCCACATACTGTAGCTAGCAGTACAAGTATGCTTTCATTTATATTAGACACTTTTAACGTATTTTTTTGTATTCATCTATTATATTTTGGTAAATTCAGGGTCGACCTCAAGAAATGGGCGAGGTCCTACACGAGGAAAGGCTGTAGAGAAGATGGTGGAGGCAAATGGGAAACTGCATGTTGAGATCCCAAATGGTGTGAATGTCCCAGTCGAAAAAAATGCACAACGTTGCATTAATGAGATGTGAGCCTTGGCTAGGGCTTTCATCCCAATTACTGTGACCCTATGTAATGATATTTCTGATGACATGCGTGTCCCTATCATTGCACGCCTTCAGGTAATTATACTTATTTATTATTCTTTTTTATTATATTCGTTATAAATATAATTGTTTTTGTTTAAAATAATGTACTATTTTTTCGTACAGACAAGGTTTGACATTGTCGGATACGATGAGTCAGAAGGTGTTCGGAAAAACATTGAAGCTAAGTTTGTTCGTTTGTATAGTGACCATCGTTCTAAGATACACAGTCACTATAAACAATTGGTGAAGGCTGGCCTGAACCCAAAAACTAAGCCCTACAAACAAGTTAGTAAGGATGATTGAAATTATATAATCGAGCACGTATTCAAGGATCCAGAATTTCAGGTAAAAACTTGATATTTTATTACTAATGTTGCTGGTTTTTATTTACAATAGGATATTGTCCCTACACTAACCTATGTTAAATTTTTTATGTAGAAATGATCTAAAATAAATTCTGCAAATCGTACCAAGCTACTCTATAATCATGTTATAGTTTCCAAGTCTTTTCCATCTGCAATGTTAAGTGTTTTAATTTATACTTTTTTTGTATGTTATCTTAATTAAGGTATTGTACAGTTTTTTAAAGCAGAAAGATCCCGATACCCAAGAGCCACTTTATTTTGTAGATTTCTTTTGTGAATCTCACTTTAGCAAAAAGTTGAACAAATGGATATCACAAGAAGCTGAGTCTCGATACGTAAGTATACAAATTTTCTTAATGTTATTGTATTTGAGATTTATAAGGTTGATAAATTTCATTTTGTAAACAAGTTATTAATTATTTTTAAAATTTTAAAACCAGATGAAGGAATTAAGAGACAAGTCCACACAAGATGGTGAATCACACATCTCTGAGGAGGAGATTGCAAACACCGTCCTTAGCTGCAAGTCTGGCTTTAAGAGATGTTATGGGGTTGGACCAAAACTTTCTTCAAAAAAGAAGTCTAAGACTATTGTAAATGAAGAGGAGGTGACGAGTCTGGAGATAGAGCTAGATGAAACAAAGAAAAAACTTCAACAAATGGAGAAGTGGCAAGAAATGATGATGCAACAAATGATATAGATGAGGTTAGCAGTGCAGTGTCGTGGGGGCATTAGGGAGCTGAGCAATTCAACTTTATCTTGGTAAGCTATTTTTTGGCTATTATCATATACTTAGTCAAACATTAAATTATTAACCTATAAATTCAAAATTTATATATTTTTTCTTTTATTTCTTATCTATAATGCCTTAATGAGTTTTTTGTGTTTGTCACAGATTGAAGATGGATTATAAAAGTTTTTTTTTGGATACTCAGACATCTTTTCTTTCAAATATTTGAGATGTTTTGTTGTTGAGATTTTAGATGTTGGATGTTGAAAATTTTGGAAATTGTTAGGAGTTTTGGATATTGATTGATGCTATTGAAAATTGTTGGATGTTATTTTATATTTTGAGTAATATATTAATGTTTTAGTAATTATGATAAGTGGACGCATGCGGAATGTTTTTGAGTTGTTATAAGTGTTTTTAAATTATTATAGGATCAAATGGGATTCAATAATATTCATTTTTTGGGCGACGAAAATATGTCGTCACAAAAATATTGTTCATCATTTTTGGCAACGAAAAAATTCCTTGTTAAAATGCTGGTTGATTTTTTTGGCGACAAATATGTTTGTCGCCAATATTTTGTGTATTTATTTTTAGCAACGAAATAGAGACGGTCGCTGAAGTTTTTACATTTTGCGACGAATATAATTATTGCTAAAGATTTTGTGGTTAAAATAATTTATTTTTTGGCGACAAAATAAGAACATGTTTGGCGACAAATCATGGTTGCCTATTATGTATTTTTGGCAACGAAATAAGTTCATCGCAGAAAATTTTTGGCAACGAAATTTATACATTTTGCGACGAGTCAATTCGTCGCTAAAAAATAAATTTGTTGTAGTGTGTGGTTATATGGTGTATTATGATGATTGTTATGTATGATTGTAAGTTTTATATACATATTTAGATATTATTAGATTTTTATTTTTAGAGAAAACTCTATTCAAATTTTTTGAAATTAGTAGGGACTAGCTTAATGTTTTGATGGATGGATGTGTTGATGGTTGGGTATGTATTGATTATAGTGGTGGTGTGGTGAATTATGATAATTGTTATGTATGATTGTAAATTTTGTAGACATGTTTAGAGAAAAGTTTACTGAAATTTCTGGAAAATAGTATGAACTCTCTTAATTTCAAATTGAAATGTTGTTTTAGGTTGCAAAGAGTGTTTAGATAATGTAATATTCTTCAAGTTTTATTTAATTTTATGTTATGCAGTGCTTTCAGACATGGACAATTACTAGTGTATATATATATATATATATATATATAATTAATTTAATATTCGAATAGTGTAATAGTGTAACAAAACAATATAACAAACTATTTACACAAAAAATTATATTATTACATTTTGTCAAATATATAGTTTCATATCATTTCATTAAAACTAACTCATCTTCGTTTTGAATTTGTTATTACATGCACAAAACTACTGAACACTGTTTTTGTTATAATGTATTATTACAGTGTATTTGTTACACTATTATTGAGTTTGGATATTAACAAATTTTAAAATTCAAACAAGTGATATACTCTAAATTAAAAGAAATATTAAAATTCTCCTATAAAACTAGTAGTAGTAAATATTTAATGCATAAATATAATTTGAAAGTAAAACCACTTTTCAAAAAAAAAAAAAATACGCATGAATCAAGATGCATCAAAGATAATTTAAAATTTAGATAAGAGATTTAACAACAAGTATATATATATCGCATGAATCAAGGTGTATTAAATATAATTTGAAAATAAAATCACTTTCTAAACAAATTTCACATGAATCAAGGGAGGATATACAAATATGAAATATTAAAGTTCACCCATAAAATTAGGAGATGTTTAATGCACCATTTTTCAAAGAAAATACACATGGATCAATGGAGGACAAAAACTTCACAAAAAAATCAGTAAAATTCAAATAATGTACTTACATACAAATAAACATCAAAATTAAGGACTTAATTACCTAATTTTTTTTTTTTTGTATTTTTTTAAATTAAGTCTAATTTGGTATACCCCATTTCAATTTCTCCATATTTTAAACCCTACAACAAGGGCTTATAAAAATACAAGTCCAATTAAAAAAAAAATTTAAGGCCTCACTTCGAGGAAGGCCAATAATTTATAGGTATAAAGTAATAATCCAAACAAAAAATTTAAATCCATGCCTAAACAAAATATTTTAACTTAAATAGATTGGGCCTATTAATTCAGCCGGAAAATTAAAAGGTCCTAAAATTATTTTTTTAAATAAAGAAAAAAAAACTAACCTTAAAACTAAAATTATTAAAAAATTTAGTTTTAACCTCTAAAAATGTCAAGTTTAAACTTATTGTCATAATTTTTCAATTATTCTATCTCTCTTACTATTTAGTTCAAATACGGTAACAAAAATTTGAATATAAAAATTTAATTAATATTTTTGTATTTTAAAAAAAAATTAAATTTATTATTAATATTAAAAATAAAACAACGTCATTTACCGATTCCGTTTTAAGCCCCAAAATGTCTCGAGTCACATCTGGGCCGTATCACCATTTTCGCCCTAAGCTCTACCAGATGGAGAGGCACAAGCTAGCTGCAGTGAAAAAGTTCTAACGCCGATACATATGTAACACTTGGATCTTCATGACGATACATTAGCATGGATATGGGCAATTGATGCTTTGTTCCTGCACTATCATTTGCATACTTGCAACCACACTGTTGATTCTGCAGGTATATATGTAGCGGGACATATGTAACACTAAGGACACACATTATACTTTATTACAACTTTTGGTCATGTTTTCAAAAGCTTTAAAACGTATTGTACAATAAAATATACAAATCTTAAGCTCATATACCAATCTACTTACGTTTCTCTAATTGACTGTAGGATTAAGTCATCACGGTCCACCCTTTTAACTTGAAAAATCATTGATTCGGGCCATATCCAATTCAACTGATCATGTGGGTTTTCATGGGATGACAGTTGATGGCTATACCTTAGCATGGATATCGGCACTTTGATGCCTTGTTCTTTCATCTTCATTTCCGTACTGACAACCATATACTGGATTCTCTGCAGGTATGAAATTGACAGATGATATATTCATGCTGGCGAACCAAATTCCTCTTGTTGTGTTAGAAGAAATCCAGAAAGCTATCCAATTCCAATCCTCTTGTGCTAATAATAAAGAAAATAACTAGGTCTGGGGTTGATGACAGTGTCGAAAAATGGACAGTTTCTAATGATGCCAATGTCATTTGTAAGTTTTGTAAAGCATTCTCCCCACTTAAATTGTTAGATCACGTGCTATGTCCGCCTGACCCCAAACCTGTGCATCTACTAGAGTATTTATACTGTTTAACTGTAAACTATTTGAACTCTATGGTAGAGATAGATTTTAAGACTCAGACTGATCATTCACAGAACTTAGGAAAGGGCCTGGAAACAGTTCAAAAACTTATCAAGTCCATAAAGGTAGTGCCATTGGAGATGATTCTTTCTGTATTCGGAAAAATCGAAAACCAAAATTCACTGGACGAGATTGAAATTCCTTGGGCGTCGACCCTTCAAAAAATTGGTGGAGTGACATTTGCCGTCACGGAATGGGGTATCAGGGACATCAAATTTAACAAGGAAACACGCACTTTGTACCTCCCTGAAATCACTCTGAATGATAATTCAGAAGTTATATTAAGAATATAAGCTTGGGCCATGACAGGTTTGATCCTCGAGCTTCCAGAATACGTTGATTTGATGTGTGGGATTATAGATACAGTAGAGGACGTGAAGATCCTCCATGACAAGAAAACCGTCATCAAAGACAATCTATCTCATGATCAAATTACAAATATTTTTAACAGGATAAAAAAATCAAGTTGCATTGATACGAAATCTGGACTGGAGAAAGCGGTTGACGAAGTTTACAAACATTATGGAAGTCGGCTAGGGGTGAAGGCATGGAGATCTATCAAGAAATGTCGGAATTCGTCATGGAATTTTGTCCAAGCTTCGTGAAGGTTCTGTCCTTTTTTGCCATTGCCCTCATACTGCTGCGATATCTACGATTGTAGCTCACGTTGGTTTGGGAAAAGCATAGCACAAAATCTTGGTTTTTTGCTTATGTGACGTCTTTTGATATGTGATATTAGTAAGGTTTTCAATACGTAATCCTAAATAATCCTCAACCATAGATTTCGGTTGAATGTTATTTGTGGCCGTTAGGCATCAATGTTATAGAATGACGTGAAGCAATATGAATATGATAAGATGATTTGCTATGTGCCATTCCTTGATCGGGTAAGGGTACTTACCCCTATCAAAATGAAGTCAAAGCTTGCCCAACCTAACGATAAATGGGGGTGCTAGGCACTCATGTTTGCCTTACTAGTGAGACATGATCTTTTTCTTTCCGTTTTTTCTGTTTGCCAGTTTTAGTAACGAACAATTTTTGATTGACTTTCGAGTTATCTAGTTTTGAAATTGATCAATTCACCATTCTGAGTATTGAACAGAGCTAGAGCAAAAACAAGGCAGATCAGATCAATTCGTGGTTCAAAAAGATAAAATTTTTTTTTTTGGGGGGGGGGGGGGTGTTTCACGTAGGTTTCTTCTTCTTCTTCTTCTTCTTTTCTTGTTTTGTTCTTCTAACCTCCAGGTGCAATAAAGAGAGCTATGCCTGCCAGGGTCCTCACTCTGTAATAGTAGACAAAGATAACATATAGAATTGTTAAAAAGAAGTTTGAAATTTTAGGGTTTTTGTTCGTACAGGATAATAAATTGGGGATTACTTGGTATTTTTTGTTACTGCTTTAACCATTAAAATTGAAGTAAATTATTTTGTGACTCAAATATGTTAAATTATGACTCAATATGATCATATATAATCAATATGCAAAAATTAAAATCGATTTTGATCAATCTAAAAAATTTAAATTTTATGAATTCGTAATGTTGACCTATTTGAATTATAATTTGAATCAATGGAGTTGATTTGAACTAAATGTAGACCACGTGTATGACGATCGTTCCACATTGTATAGTTTAAATTATGTAATTAAAAAAATAAATTACTATGTTCAATATAAAGTTTACACAATCAATACTTAATTTTTACTTTATAGATTGTCTTGGGTACAAATTATTGCTATGTATATGATAGTGATGGTACTCGAAATCTTTTTATCCAATTACAGAACCGTGAAGTGGTGAGGCCCAGGACGAACTTTGTGTGTGTTTATGGATGGAGATGTGTTCAGTGTATGAAAGGTGATGAAAACAATAATGTGAGTGGTTTACCTCAATCGAAAGACTAAGACTATGTCTATTATAATGGAGACTCTTACTCCTTAAGGGTTTATTGCTTAAAGATGTAGGTAGCGGTTACAGAAGACTTAGATGGGAGTCTTTTACAAAGTATTTCTTATGTTGACTATGGTGATCTCTTTATAGTAACTTTGTCTCCTATTTATACCCTTGATCCCATAGTTTTTATAATTCTTCCTTTTTTGACTGATTTGGTGGTCTCCTCTTCATTTATCATGTAATTGGCCTACCAACATGACTTTTTTGCACCCACTATCCATGAAATGGAATATATGTGATATCCCCTCCACCAAAGAACATTTGTTCGTTAGAATTATCAAGTCAAATCCGCTTGGTATCGAGCTCATATTCCCGAGCAAATGATTGTCACCGAGCTTGTTGTAGGCTAATCTGGACACTAGTCTGGGCTAAATGACCCTAGGCTTTTCATGGAGCGGGGCTGTGGTCCAGCTCGAATATGGAAGATATTGTCTAGAAGAGCCGCTTGGTTTGTCTTTGATGAGCCCTTTAGAGGCTTTGAGCTCAAGAAGGAGCTCAGATTTAAATCCATCATCATAAGATAATATGCCACTACTTAAATCATTAAATGTTGTTCGTTAACTCTTTGCTCATGTTGAAAATATATTACTTTGATATATCAGCATAAGATGCAACCAAGTCAATAAGGTAGCAATACACAATAAATATCCATCATTTCACATTGATGATTGACTTCATCAATGGTAAAGAGCCAAGGTATTTAACAAGGTTTTTATGCAATTAGGTCAGACATAAGATGTATGCAATTACGCTAAAGTACCAAAAATATTCACAAAATGATCAAAGATCAAACAATTGCAAGTAACGACAAGAAAAAAATTGTCCAAACATAGCGTTGCTTTTGACGAAAGATACAGAGAAAGAAGACCATCAAGACAAGTTCTATAGCTATTTGCGATAAATAAGTTCAAGAAGCCTGCTTTTAACATGACCCCAATTTTATTTGTTGTTTGTCATGCATCCTGTTTCATTCCTATATTGTCACCTCCTCACTTTTTAAAAATGACTCAAAGACGACTAAGGTTACACAAAATTCAAAGAATCTGTACCATTTAATTGTTAAAATAGGTTTTAGAATAACATCATAATAATAAGGTTAGATTACATCACTATTCTAAACTAAAACGACGGTTCTACTAGTTTTCAAAAGTATTTACAAATGGTGGGGTAAGTTTATTTTATAAAAATGGTGTTAGTGTGACATGTGAGGTGTCCTAATGAAATAATAAAATAAAGAATTAAGTGGACAACATAATAATAATGGCCGGTAGGATTTTCAATGCCAAAAAAAAAAATGAAAGAATGAAAAAGTTTAAAGTTTAAATGATGGATCAAATATTAGGTTTTGATAAATAAGAAAAATGCAAAGAATAGAAAGGTGGAAGGATTCGTCTTTCTTTTAACTCACAAAAATTTATCTTTTTAAATTTGAGAGAAAAAGTGAAAGAAAATTAATTATGACTCTTGAAATACATGATATTTATCTTTATATATATGAATGTATCTTATTTTTGTCGATAACATATTATGTACAAATTAATTTCATACATAGATATAACGATAAAATATGTATGTATATTTTTTCCTTTATTCTATTTTTCCATCCAACAAAACAGAAAAGAAAAAAAAATCAATCATTATCATTTTCTATCCCTCCTACCAAATATAAGTGAGAAAGAAAGGTGTATCCATCGAAGGATAAAAAATATATTATTCTTATTTTTTATCATTCTACTTTTTTATCCACTCTATCAAACACACTATTACTATGCAGCATGATTGTAGATTAGTTGTTGGGTTATGAGTAATTGCAACAAAATAAGATTTGAATCGTAATATTTGTCCGCCGCCACATTTTTTGACACGATGCAAAATCTTTCAATTATAAATACATCAAAGATACAAGTTTGTAGGCAAGAGCAAAGAAGAGCAGTGTTTGCAGGTAAGTGTGCCCCAATTGCCCTTAAAGAACCACCAATCTCTCTCTCTCTCTCTCTCTCTTGTTTCATCTCTCCTCATTTGGCTACCATTTTCATTCAAAGAATCTTTCGTCACCTTTTTTCATATTTACTTCAGCCCATTCATTCCTCAACATCCCAATCTCTCTCTCTCTCTCTCTCTCTCTCTCTCTCTCTCTCTCTCTCTCTCTCTCTCTCTCTCTCTCTCTCTCTCTCTCGTTTGGCTATCATTTTCATTCAAAGAATCTTTCTTCACCAAACCCTTGGGGTGGTTCAGGGATTAAGCTTGTCTTCTGGTAACTTAGAGGTCTTAATTTCTTTTCACATCCCTTAGGAGCTGGCTACGGTGGCTAGCCGTTAAATTTAATAGAGTAATTGACACAAATTTAAACACTTTGTAACCGGAAAAAAAAACACAATCTTTCTTCACCATTTTTCATATTTACTTGAGCCCATTCGTTCCTCAACATCTACGTGGCTAAGACTTTGTATCTAAATATTAGACTTAAGACTCTGGAGGATCTCCTTTAAATATCTTTTAGAAGTTTTTATATGATGTTTTTGAGTCATTTATAATTTTTGGATCTGCAATACATCTTAAAATTTTGTGATTGATTTTAATATTTTTAAGATATACCTTTTTTTTTTGTTTGTAATTAAATATGAGGTAACCTTCAGCACGTATGAGGTAAAATTTAATAGAATTCAACGACGAGTATGCAAAGAAACCAAATTCAATGAATAAGTTTGAAACAAATTACTGAAACACTACTAAGGTTATGGTTTCGAAGTAGGTTTGAGTTCAACTGTTTATGACCAGATAAGCTTTTTGGTTGTTACTTTTGCCTTTTGCTTAATTGTATGAGTTTGAAAGCGAAACTTCATGTTTTTTGAACACACACTAGACACAACCTCTTAAAAGAGGAAGTGCCCAGTGAGATATTTAAATAACACACACACACACCCAAAGGCGAAACTTCATGTTTACATAAATGAAACATAGTTCAATTCCCACTTTTTTTAAAAAAATATTTGGAGAACGCAAAACCTGACTAAACAAAGTTTTCTTTTATTTTTGAATATTTGAGAACATAAAACTGTTTTACAAACACTATCCAAACAGACCATAGATCCTAGTTATGCACTGGTAGTCTAGTCTGGTCTGGTCTGCTCCTGTCTGGTGTGGTCATTTTATGCCTGATTAGTCTTAGAATTTGTGACTGCAGAGGAGTTGGATTATGGCGTCTGAGTCCTCCTCCAACAATGCCGAAATTACTTCCATTTTCAGCTCAAGCTCCGGCGAGCACCGATGGGTCATTCAAATGGCGAAGAACTTCGAGATAATTGACATTGACATAACACCTTGCATCTCTCCAGTACCCGAAACTTTACGAGCCGAGAAGTCGGAAGCTTATGCCCCGAAGCGAATAGGCCTCGGACCATATCACCATTTTCTGCCCGACCTCTATGATCTTATGGAAAGGAAGAAGCTAACTATAATAAAAAGTGCTGTAAAACAGGACAAGAATGGCAAATTCCCACAAACCATGATCAATAAACTGAAGAAGCTTGAGCCCAAACTCCGGCCATGCTATGACAAGCTCTTGGATCTTGATGGCGAAACATTAGCATGGATATGGGCAATTGATGGTTTGTACTTGCATCAAAACTTAGGTAAGAATTTTTTGGAACAGGACATATTTATGTTGGAGAACCAAATTCCTTTTCTTCTGTTAGAAGAAATCGAGGATCATATCAGCCAATACAAATTGTCAGACAAAGTAGTACGTGATTTCTGTGAGGTACACTCACCGTTAAAATGGACACAAAAGCAGGGGCATCGTCACGATAAACAACACGAACCTGCTCATCTGCTGGATTGTATGTACCATTTAGTTGTAACCGACGGGCACATCAGGCTGAAAGTGGGAAGCAAGGCTCGAATGACAGGAGGAGGGCTTGAAAGCACTGCAACTTCTATTTTAGAAGAACTTCAGAAACTTGCCGATCTCATAAAACAACTGCATTTGGATAAGATTTGTGCTCCATTGTTCAAAAAACCTAATACAGCACTCGAGATCGAAATTCCTTTTGTGTCAAGCCTTCAAAAAATTGGAGTGAAATTCGCCATCGCGGAAGGGGGTATTAGTATTGAAAAACTTAAGAACAGAGTGCAGAAAGCTAAGGAGAGAAAAGATGAAGAAGAGAATCATACTCATTCCATATATTTTGCTGTACATACATCTATATTTATACTAGCTACAAGTGTACACCAAAATTATTCATCTAAATTTTTTACACATGAGGGAAATTTTCCTAACTAACTACGAGCTTCCATGTGCCTCAAGAATCTTCTAGTGAGCTGTGCTAGATCCTTCTAGTGTGTTCTATGCTGAGCTGGATGGTGATCAGTGGAATCATCAGCTGAGCTGGTGGAATCTGATGAGCTAGCTTCATTCTCTGCAATTTTCAACAATTAGTGCCATCAAATTCGTCGACAAAACACACTCTTTAAAACTCCCAGTAATCACTCTGAATGAAAATTCACAAGTTATATTAAGAAACTTGTTGGCTTATGAAACTTTGTCCATGCCAGTGCCAGCTGGGTCTACCGACTCTACCAGTAACCGTAAGCTTGCAGAATACATCGAAGGCAATCTTTCTCATGATCAAATTGCAGATATTTTCAACAGGATAACAAAATCCACTGATAAACAATCTGAACTTGTTGGAAAAGTTAACAGGCATTACGATAGTATGCTAATAGTGAAGGTCTGGAGATTCGTCAAGAAATGTTTGGATTCGTCCTGGAATTTTGTCCAAGCGTCATGGAAGGTCTTGTGCTTCTTTTATTCCCTCATTCTAATCGCAGTGCTGATCTTGCAAGCCTTCTGCGACATCTATGGCTGCAGTAAGGGACAGAGCCAAAATTTTATCTTCAGAGAGGCCGAGTAGTGGTGTAGTGGAAAAATTTTATTCAACAGAAGGATTCGATGACCACAAAGTGCAAAATTAAGCTTGGGTTTGCAATGTTGATGTTTGTGTTGTGTTATGCAGTATTTGATGTTTTCCTTGTGAGGTTTTTTTTTTCTCTTTCTTTTTTTTTTTTTTGTTACCTCCTGAACTTCGTGTACAACGTAGTAGTGCAATAAAAGACAGCCAGCCTACCTCAATGATCTGGCTTTATAATTTTGTTTTTCATTTTCATCCCATGGTCTATCTGTTATACGATAAAGCAACTTGAGTTTCGTTTATAATAGGCTTAATTTTGACTTGTTAACTTTATACTCAATTCAAATTGAATGATAAAATAAATTTAATTCTATTTTCATGTTCGATTTGTAAACCAGACAAATTCAACCATGTGGCTCTCGACTCAACTCAAACAATTTCATTAATAATTTTAATTTTGTTATTAAATAAATTTTGCTCGAATTATGAACAACCTCAATCTTATCTTCAATGTTGTAAAACTCGCTCAATCAAAACCCTGTCATGAAAAAAAAACATGCAAATTATTGCTTTCTATTTTTAGCGAAGGACATAATCTCTTTTCCTACTTCACACATAAAATAGATTTGAACTCTGGTTTACAACTGATCATATCGTGAATGAATTGGACTTGTGGATTCAAATTTATATTCAATTAATCAAATACAAGTTTATATTTTTGATTGACAATCTAGTTTGAATTCCTATTTATATAAAGTAGCTTACAATTCAAATTTCAAAAATAAACAAAATGATTTTTGTTATTTGCGGTTGAGATTGTTTTAAATTTTACTTTAAAGTTAATCTAACGGCTAATATTAAAACTCCAAATTTAATAGGAAAAAACAGGTCTATAAGGGTGTATTTGGAGTAATTTGTTAAAAGTGTTTTTAAGAATTATTTATCATAAGTACTTTAAAAGAAAATTATTGTTTTAAACCGCTCCATCACTATCTCTACCATCACCACGACCGCCATCGCCCCCACGACCGCCATCGCGACCACCATCGTCGTCGTCACCACAACCGTCATCGTCATCGCCGCCACCACTACCGTCACCATAACTATTATTATCTCCTACCACCACCACTGTCGTCTATTATCTCTCACCCCCACTATAAATCGATGTTTAAATTCATTTATTTCTTCTCTATGTTTGAGATTTAATTTTGAATATGAATATAAATATATTTTTTATTTTTTATTTTTTATTACTCTGTACCTTCAGGTACAAGCAATAACTAGTACTATTATAAAATATCAACATTCTTGAAAAACTTTGTTTTCTTTTAATACCCTTCAACAATGATATTAGGACATTTTAATACATGAACCTAAATGAGTTATTATTCAAACAGCTACTTCATTATATTGAACGATTGAATAGGATTCTTTAAATAGGACCTTTCACCCTTCCAAGACCCCCAATAGAAATAGAGAGACATCCATTATGTTATTTTAACTCAAAAGTTGAATAGCTCATAGTCTTAATAATCTCGGTGATTAAAAACATCTTTTGGTGCATCACAAACCACACTCCCCTTGAAAATTTAGATTTTGGATCCCTCATTATGCGACTCTACCAAAAGAGCTGTGGGTGCATAAAAAAATATGTATGGTTTGATATTTGAATTGCAACTGTGATATTTTTGGCTGATGAATGGTGATTAGGTAAGTGAGACGAATATGCAGCCGGCCACGAAGATTATGAGGAGAAATTGACATTGGCAACAGGCAATATAAGCATTTCAATAAGGTCGAACTGAATTTCATTTCAAGCAGAAAAAATTATTGATCATTAATTTTTGATTTTCTTATTGCACTGTCATTGTGGTACAAGTTGTTTAGATTGGTTGGCCATTGGGTGATTTTCGTCTCGGTTACATTTGTGATTGTTTAGGATTTAGAAGGGATTGAGAGGAGAGGTAAAGATTTGACACTTTGGAATTGCACTATTATGGCTACTTTGTGGTGGGTCATGTAGAACGAGCAAAATGCAAGATTATTTTGAGTTTCGATTACAAGAGATTTCAAGGGAAACCCATTCTTTACAATTTTGGCTGGATGATATGCTTTATAAGATGTTCTTTGTACTTCCTGTTTTGATTTATGTCTTTTGTTGTGATATCTTAGCGAATAATTTTCTGATATAAGCTTTATTTTTTTATATTTAAAGAAAAAAAGAATTAATTTTCTTGACACTGTGTGTATGTCTGCACTCTTTATTTGCATTTGGTGTATATTGTGATGGTTTACTAAGGTATTATGCTTTGTTTTGCATGAAAATTAACAGATTGTAAAAGTAGTGGATGAGTTTGTCTTGTAGAATTGTTAAAGGCTCGTTTGATAAGATAGGCTAAATTACATCATAATAATAGCGTTAGATTACATCATAATAATAGGGTTTGATTACATCATAATAATACGGGATGTCTACACAATTCTAAACTAAAGTATTTACACACGTGGGTAATTTATTTTATATAAACTATGTTAGTGTTACTTTTGAGGTCTCCTAAGGAAATAATAAAATAAAGAATTAGGTGGACAAAGGTTCATCAATTTTTGAATATTACATGGTGGCAATATAATAACACTTAATAATGGCCGGCAGGATTTTTCAATGCAGATGATGAAAAAGTAGAAAAACGTATTATGTATAAATTAATTTCATATACAATTACAATGATAAAATATGCATATATATTTTTTCATTCTATTTTTCCATCCAACAAAACAAAAAAAAGAAAAAAAAATTAATCATTCTCATTTTCTATCCCTCCTATTAAGCACAAGCGGGAAAGAATGATTTATTTTTTAAAAGGTGAAACAAATATTACTTTTCTTTTTTATCATTTCATTTTTTCATCCCCTCTATCAAGCACACTATTACTATGCAACATGATTGTAGATTGGTTGTTAGGTTATGATTGATTGCAACCAGATAAGATTAAGATTGGAATCGTAATACTTGTTGGACCCACATTTTTTGACAGCAAGCAAAATCTTTCAATTATAAATACCTCAAAGATACAAGTTTGTAGGCAAGAGCAAAGAAGAGCTGTGTTTGCAGGTAAATGTGCCCCAATTACTCTTTTTTGCTCTTCAAGAACCAACAAACTTTCTTAATTTTTCTCTCTTGTTTCATCTCTTCCTAATTTGGCTACCATTTTCATTCTGAAATCCTTTCTTTACCAATTTTTTATATTTACATAAGTCATTCGTTCCCTAACATTAAGTTCATATCCAAATATTGGACTTAAAAACTATGGAAAATAGGCCGGTACTATACAATATATACAAATTTTAATAGTTTTTGTACAATTTTTATCATTCACAACTTCTAGGATTTTTGTAATTCAACCTAAAAATTTGTGATCGATCCTAATATTTTAGGATAAGTTTTAATATTTAAAGATGGATCCCTGACTCAAAAGTTGTCACTAGGTGGTAAGCTTTTGGGTTTTTATTTTTGCCTTTTGCTTACTTGTGAATTTGCAAATGAACCTTAATGTTTAGACAGAGAATTTTCAGGGAAAATTTAGACCTGGTTGTGCTGTGTTATGGGCATTTTATGTCTGATTAGTCTTTGAAACTGTGATTGCAGAGAAGTATAGTTGAGTTGAGTCATGGCGTCTGTCTCCTCCAATGATACGGAAATTACTTCCATGTTCAGTTCAAGCTTGGGCGAGCACCGATGGGTCCATCAAATGGAGAAGAAGTTCGAAAAAGAGCTCAAGATTGACATCAAATGTGATTTACCTTGCATCTCTCGAGTGCCCCAAACCTTACGAGCCGAGAAGCCGGAAGCTTATGCCCCGAAGCGAATAGGCCTCGGCCCATATCACCATTTTCGGCCCGAGCTCTATGATCATATGGAGATGAGAGAAGCTAAGTGCCGTGAAAAAAAGTTTGTAACAGCGGACCGGATCGCTCAATTTCGGCAACTCATTGTGGGTAACTGTGGAGCTTGAGCCCAGCGCCCGGGCGTGCTACGGCGACTACTTGGATCTTGAA